AAGTTTAGGGTCAGGTAGGTACCTGTGAGGTAAGTTTAGGGTCAGGTAGGTACCTGTGAGGTTAGTTCAGGGTCAAACCTGTGAGGTTAGTTTTAGGCTAAATGGTCAGAGTTAGGCTATAAAGTCTAAAGCAAATGAATGGAAGTCAATGGAAGGTCCCTACAGGGTTCAAGTGAAACAAGAACTTCCTGTTTTTAAATGACAGTAAAACAGAATGGATTTTGTTTGGTGACAAAGCTGCAACTGGCCTAGGTTTGAATATTAACTTCAGTGACTGTGTGAAAAACCTTTGATAAGGCTTTAAATTTTGACAAACATTGTTTCTGTTGTCCGGTCTGGACTTTATCATTTACATCTTTTAAAAAAAGGTCAAACCCTTTTTAAACCGTTGTGATGTAGATAAGGCTGTTCATGCTTTTATCACTTCAAGACTTGATTCTCGTAACGCTCTGTATGTTGGTGTACCTCAGTCATCACTGGGTCGCCTCCAGCGTGTTCAGAACGCAGCAGCTCGCCTTTTAACCAATACTCCTAGACGGGACCGTATCACACCTGTTTCATCCTCATTACATGGCTTCCTGTCTGTTTTAGAATAGATTTTAAACTTTTTTTGTTTGTTTTTAAAGCTCTGAATGGACTTGCTCCTCCTTATATAACAGAGTTGTTAAGTTTCCCCACCCGCTCCATGTCTCTGAGGTCAGACATGTCCTGCTTTCTGTTCCAAGGATGAAATATAAACGTTGGGGTGACCGTACATTTTCTGCAGCTGCACCTCGTCTCTCGAATCAACTCCCTCTTGATCTACGTTTGGTCACTGAGCTTGACCCTTTTAAATCAAAGCTTAAGACCTTTTTAGTCCAACAGGCTTTTAGTACTTAATACAGTAGGTGACATTTCTGGTTTTAGTTTTGTTATTTTGTTGTGTTTTCTTGTTTTTAACTTGTTGTCATGCCAATCACTGACTCTGTGAAGCACTTTGGTCACCAGCACTGAGGTTGTGTAAAGCGCTACAGAAATAAATAAATAAATGAAATGAAGTGTATGTGCACCCTTGTTTTTGCTACTTGGTGGGGACAATTTTTCAGGAAAATGCAACCTCCTGGGGACCAAATGCTCCTTGTGAGGACCAAAGCCTGGTCCCCACGACTTCGGAGGCTGATCTTCAGTGTGTGTGTGTGTACGTGTGTATGTGTGTGTATGTGTGTGTGTGTGTGGGGGGAACCAAGGTGTGAATTGAGTTTAGGTTAGTTTCAGGGTAAATGGTCAGGGTTAGGATATAAAATAAAAAAAAAATGAATGGAAGTCAATGGAAAGTCCCCAGAAGGATAGAGAGACATAGTAGATGTGTGTGTATGTGTGT